CTCTTCCTCCCTGTCCCCCCAATCTAGATTTAAATTTTTACCCGTTCTTAAAAAAAAAAACAAAACAAAAAACCCTCCCTTCTTTCCTTCTCACTCTTTTTTTGGGGAGGGGGGTATTTTAAAATTTCCCCCCTTTGCCATCACCACCATCACCTTCCCTCCTTATCAGGCATCTAAGCTTGCTAAAGGGGGAGAGGTGGGGGGGTATGTGAGCTTGTGTGTGAGTGAGTGAGTGTGTGTGTGTGTGTGTCTGTGTGGTTTTTTTTCCCTGTGCAAAAGCAGAGGCCATTGTTACGGAGAGTAGGGCGTACCAGTCTTATAGGGCAACCACACTGTGGCGGCTTAGCCCTGCTGGAGCCCGGAGCTGGATTCTGGCGAGCTGAGCTGCCCGGCACCTTTCGGTCTTCTATTTTTTTTCCCGCTCCCCCACCCCCTCCCTCCTGCGCACCCCTGCTCCTAAGCCGAGTGAATTGAAGCGGACGCCGCGCGGCTCCTCTGGCCGGTCTGCCCCTCGGGCTCCCCAGCCGGGGTGGCTTTGCGGGGCGGGGGGGCGGGGGGCGACGCAGCTTTAAACAGTGGTCTTTTTTTCCTTTGCCTTCAAGGAGGGGAGATTTCTCGCCTGCCGCTCGCGCTGGGGCTCGATGTGAATATATATTATGTCTGCCTGTTCTCCCCTCGTCGGTGGCTAAGGTAAGCTGGACTGAAATAGGCTATCAGTTTGTGAATGGCGGAGAGTATGTCTCAATGATTTATGGCCCATATGACTCCAATCTCGGTTCAAGAAGAGTTCACAAGCTTTAAGCTTCCTTCCACGCAGCGACTCTCTCTCTCTCTCCCTCCCTCCCTCCCTCCCTCTCTCTCCCTCTCTCTCCCTCTCTCTCTCTCTCCCTCTCTCCCCTCTCTCTTCCTGCTTCTCTCCTCTTTTCTCCTCTCTTTTCTTTCAGCAGCCAGATCCAGGGCTGAATTTTCTCCCCGGCTGCTAAGAAAGTCTCAACCTTTCTCTCTCTTCCTTTCTTGTTATTTTATTTTTCTTCCTCCCATTAATTTTTTTAAGTCCTGGAAGATGGCCTATCCCCTCTCTCGGGGCTTCCCCAGCTATTGTTAGTCTCCTGGCAGTCCCTGGGGTGTGCTTGGCAAGGTGGGGTTCTTGGGGGGGCTCATCTCCCTTCTCCAGCGAGACCCTGGGGGGAAGCCAGCAGCCACCGTCTCCCTCCCTCCCTCCCTCCCGAGGAGCCATATGGAACCAGAATTTTTCCAACATGGAGGCAAGGGAAATAGATCTGTTTGGCTTGGTAGAGCTGTTCCCCACCCCCTCTTGTTCTGGATCCCAGATCTCGGGTCCCCTCGGCACCTTTCCCTCTTCCCACTGTCCCGTCCGCCAGGCCTCGGCGCCCTCCAACCTGGAGCCCTGCTGAGCCAAGTCCCGAAGCGGAGTTTGTAAGGCGCTTTTTAATTCGGTTACCTCCGGCTCCCAAACTTGCTGCCGCCCGCGGGGCTCGGCCCTCGGCCGGCTGGTGTGCTGGGAACCTGTCTCCGATAACCGTTTTGGTGTCCTGATCGCTTGCTCTTCTTCCCCTCCTTGGGCCATTGTAGGTGGCTGGTAGGTCGTCGCCAGCCGCCGCGGCAGCAGCGACCGGCCGAGGCAGCCTGGCAGCAGCAGCCAGGGACTACCCGGGTGCACAAACCTTCCCAGCCCTGTCTGCACCACCGGCGGAGTCTCCATTCTTTCCTATCGCGTCTCTGGCTCCTTCGCTTTCCACACTGGCCTCCGTACCGCGATGGTTTGGGGTTTATTGCAAGGGGAGCGGCAGGAATTTCGGCCCCAGGCGTCTAGTTAAATTATTGTTTTATTATTATTACTATCATCATCATCATCATTATTATTGCTGTAACAATCATTTAGACTAAATAAAGCCAGGGCCCAGCCAGCCAACCCCCTCCAACGTTTTTATTTCATTCTCTTCTCTATCTATTAATAACAACCACAACTAATGCCTGTTAATTAATTCCCCCTTCAGCCAGGGCTGCTCGGAAGCTAATTTTGGTTAAATCAGCAGAGGCTAATGGTAATAATAATAAAGGGATTGGGTCAGCCTGGTCAATTGAACTCTGGTTCTCCCTTGAAGGACCTGCTGCTTTGCAGACCCATGTGTATTTCCAGAAACCAATCGGAACTCAGGGTTACACTGATTCCTTTTTGAGTATAAATCTGTGCCATGAAGAAGGGGATTTATGTGAGAGAGGGACTTTCTTCACCTGCACTTCTTTTATTTTGTTTTCCTATGTTTAGTTTTCTTTGGAGTTGACCAGCTAGGCTGAATGAGATTAAAGTTTTCCAAACACACATGGCAGTATGGAGGTTTTATGAAAAGTGGTGGTGAAGAGTTGGGAGAGAGAGAGGAAAAAAGAATGTAGTCAGAAGTTTCAGAACAAACACACAAAATCCTATGTTAGTTTGAATCTTTATTTTTCTGGCACACTTTTAAAAGGCTGTATTAAAATAGTTATTATTATTATTATTATTATTATTATTTGCCTCAGGGAACCTCAGTCAACAGGAATACCTCTGTTTCTAACCCAGAGAATAATATTGTTAAAATTGCTTTGTTGATTATTTTTCTCGGGAATAACTTTCTCTTTTGGAAAGCACTTTCCCTGTCTCAGTAGAAAAGTCTAGCAGTTGTAACTTCTTGTTTCTTATTTTCTTTGGGGGAAATCAAAGAAAACAGACTGTGAAGGAAAGGGTGGGAAAAATTAAGTCTCATGGAAAAAAAAAAAGAGAGGTCCAGGGAGAGACCTGGGCCAAATGGTCACAGCACCAACTGGCATGCATGGCCCAGGAAATTGAAACAATCCTGCTCCATTTGGGGGCCCCACAGGGCTATTGGCTGCCCAATCCCAGGTTTGGCTGAGCAAAGACAGGAGCCGGAGGTGGTGGTACCTGCAGCAGGGCCATGGACAGATGAGTCTCAGTTCAGCTGACTCTTGAGGTTAAAAATCCTCAGGAGGTATCTTGGTCAGGCTGTTGTTGTCTTCCTGGTGGGGGAGTGGTGGGAAGTGGAGAGGACACCTCACAAGAGAAGCTTCTCTGACGAACTTGCTTCTCCTGCATGTCTTTTCAGAAGATCCTTTGGTTTCCCTTCAGGCTAGACTTTGCTTGGGCAAGAGACCTAAACCGACTTGGAAGGAGGCAAAGGCTGGAAGCACAGAAGCCTCTGGGCTCAGAGGAGTGTGTTGATGACGCTTTTATTTTGGAATCTCCTAGTGTCCCCTCCCTTGAGCCATCCTATCCCAGAGTTGGGGAGGAGAGAGAGGGAGAGAGGAACTAGGGGAGGTGAGGGGTTAGTGCACCGGCAGGAGAGAAGCAATGGCCTTTGCCATAGATTCTACATCTAGGCAGTCTTGAAAGGCATATAGTATTTATTTGTTTATTTTTTTTAGTGGAAATGAAAACTGGTGGGCTTTTTTTTTTTTTCTCAGCATCTGCTTTGGAGATGTTGGGGAGGGGAGAAGAAAAAACCCTATTGATGTCAGTTCCCTTTTCAGTTCCTAAGATGGATTCGAGCCCCAGTCCTCTTCTCCGCCTTGTGTCTCTTCTCTCGCCCCACAGGTCAGCCGCTTGGAACAGACCCCGGAGGAGGGGGGCAGAGAGGGGAGGGGGTTGGGGGGTCCGGCGTGTCACGTGACCCCCAGGGTTGCCAATGTCCGGTCCTGAGGGTATCAGGCCTTTCCAAGTTGCCACCCACTGCCCAGGCCTCACCCAGCGATGCAGAAAGCCACCTACTACGACAACGCTGCGGCTGCTCTCTTCGGAGGCTATTCCTCGTACCCTGGCAGCAATGGCTTCGGCTTCGACGGCCCCCCCCAACCCCCATTTCAGGCCGCCACGCACCTGGAGGGCGACTACCAGCGCTCAGCGTGCTCGCTGCAGTCCCTGGGGAACGGTGCCCCACATGCCAAGAGCAAGGAGCTCAACGGCAGCTGCATGAGGCCGGGTCTGGCCCCCGAGCCCCTGCCCGCCCCGCCCGGCTCACCCCCGCCCAGCGCCGCACCTACCAGTGCCACTAGCAACAGCAATAATGGGGGCGGGCCCAGCAAAAGTGGTCCCCCAAAGGGCGGTCCCGGCACCAACTCCACCCTCACCAAACAGATATTCCCCTGGATGAAAGAGTCGAGGCAAACGTCCAAGCTGAAAAACAGCTCCCCCGGCACAGGTACCAGTTCTCTGCCTTCCTTGTCCTCAGCTTTTGTCCGAGCCAGGAATGTCACTGTTATTCTAGCACCCAGCCCCTAGGCGCCCACGAGGCTGCCTGGGAACAATATTAGGTGGCCGACGGGTACATTTTTGATACCCCCACCCCCTAATGACCCTTGACCCCGCCAACACCCTCCTCCCTCTAGTCGCCCTCCACCAGAGCTTCTGAAAGCTCCAGAAGGCCAGGTCCATGGCCTCAAAGCCCTTCCCAAGGCCACAGAGCCAAGACGAGGCGCTGCCAGGAGGATGCAGAGTCGTCAAGGATTGATTATTATTAAGTATGATTACTGTGGGTATTAATCACAATCGCTCAGACGGCCCCGGGTCCCGGACTCCAGGCACGGCAGCCTCTTCATGCGACACTTCTTGCCCACAAGTGTCCAGATTACCCCGAGGGTTCTCCTCAGTCTCCCATCCTGTCCTCAGGACGGTGTGGGCAGGGAGGGGAAATGTCTTCCCTGACCTGGAATTGGGGATAGAGGGGAGAAAGCACGCACGCGAAAATCCAGCCCTAAATAAATGGCCATGCGGCTCTGTCTGCGTGACATGATCAAATTTTCATAAGCTGGGGCAGCGAAAGGAGAACAGGTCTCTTAATAAATGCCACTATTATAGAGTGTCCGCTAATGCGACGGGCGGTGGGGTGGGGGAGTGAGGAGGAGGCGGGGACGCGAAGGGGAGGGCGGCGGGGGCTCTGAGTCCAGGCCTGGATTTATTAAGAAACGATGCATTCAATTTCGGCGTGTTCAGTAATTATCTTTTATTTCATTTTCTCCCCTTCCCACCCCTCCCCCTCGAATCCAGCAGAGGGCTGTGGTGGTGGCGGCGGCGGCGGCGGTGGCGGTGGCGGCGGCAGTGGTGGCAGCGGGGGCGGTGGCGGCGGGGGAGGGGACAAGAGCCCCCCGGGGTCGGCGGCGTCCAAGCGGGCGCGGACGGCATACACGAGCGCGCAGCTGGTGGAGCTGGAGAAGGAGTTCCATTTTAACCGCTACCTGTGCCGGCCTCGCCGTGTGGAGATGGCCAACCTGCTGAACCTCAGCGAGCGGCAGATCAAGATCTGGTTCCAGAACCGGCGCATGAAGTACAAGAAGGACCAGAAGGCCAAGGGACTGGCCTCGTCGTCAGGGGGCCCATCTCCAGCCGGCAGTCCCCCGCAGCCCATGCAGTCCACGGCCGGCTTCATGAACGCCTTACACTCCATGACCCCCAGCTACGAGAGCCCGTCCCCACCCGCCTTCGGTAAAGCCCACCAGAATGCCTACGCGCTGCCCTCCAACTACCAGCCCCCTCTCAAAGGCTGCAGCGCCCCGCAGAAGTACCCTCCGACCCCGGCGCCCGAGTATGAGCCGCACGTCCTCCAAGCCAACGGGGGCGCCTACGGGACGCCCACCATGCAGGGCAGTCCGGTGTATGTGGGCGGGGGCGGCTACGCGGATCCGCTGCCGCCCCCTGCCGGCCCCTCCCTCTATGGCCTCAACCACCTTTCCCATCATCCTTCCGGGAACCTGGACTACAACGGGGCGCCCCCTATGGCGCCCAGCCAGCACCACGGACCCTGCGACCCCCACCCCACCTACACAGACCTCTCCTCTCACCACGCGCCTCCTCCTCAGGGTAGAATCCAAGAAGCGCCCAAATTAACACACCTGTGATGGGAAAAGGCGGACGAGAGTTAGGAGATGGGGAGGAAGAGGGAGACTGTGGAGATCTGGGGGGCAGCTTGGAGGTCTGAAAGAGGGACCAGGAAGGTGGTAGTTAGGCTTCCTGGTCAGAACCGGCCTCGAGCTCCTTCCCCTCCCCCTGGCCTGAGAGATTGCTTTTTAAGTCCACCCCTTGTTCCATCTGCCTGCCAACCCATCGGAAAGGAATCCACAGCAGATTGGAGATGACCCCGTCAACCCCAGGGCTCCAGCACTACCAAGTTGGAATTCCACGCCCTGGAGTGGGGTAGAGGAAGACGAGATAGGATGAGGCAGAGAAGCACATTTTACAAACCAGACGAGATGGCTAGGCCATCACCAACCAACGGACTTACCTTACATCTTTGTAGGTAATTCCCCCCAAATCTTGATTTTTTTCAGTTATCCTTTAAAAAACAAGAAAACACATTTCAAACCCAAAGGGCACAAAGCACGTTCCCTTCCAACTTTCCCAAAACCTCAAATTTGTTCCCATTTATTTGAGGTTTATTGAGGTATCTACCCCCTCCATTTCTAGCCCCAGGTTTTTCTGCTCTAGGACATTGATATCTATACATCCCACCCCCATCAATTACAGTTTTTTAGAGGGCTCAGGGATGGTGAGAGATCCTGAAAGAGCTGCCTATATTATAAATTATATATTTTTTTCTTTTAAGGAAAAATGTGTAGGCTAGGACAGGCAGGTTGTTAGGACTGAAGGTTTGCCCATTCTGCTGCCTCCATCTCAGCTCCAGCTCCATCCCCCTCTCTCCACAGAAAGCAGTTGGTGATGCGAGGTTCTATACTTTTCTTTTCTTCTGTTGCTCTCTTGACTTAACGTGAAAACAGGGTATATTTGAACAAACTGTCTGTCCCAGGCAGGGGCTGGGCAGGGCTTGCGTGCCTTGCTCAGCCTCCTGACAGGACACTTTTGTTGCACTTAGAGTTTACATTTTAATGGATGTAAAAACAACTGTGAGAGATGTCTGGGCCTGCAGAAGTCCAGCATTGCTCAAAAAAGCGTGTGTTCTAGTGAACATTTTCATATATATTTATTGGTTATAGCCTGTTAAGATATTTTCTTTTTTGTATTATTTATCCCCCTACATTATGTATTTATATGAGGGAAAAAAAGGAAAAAATTGTACTTTTTTAGTATTTACTTGTTATAAAGGACATTGTGTTTCCTGTCATGTAAAACCAGCTATTTTAGTTACTATTGTACTCTAGAAAAGAGCTGTAGATTTATGTTACACTCGTACTTATGAGCAATTGTAATTAGTTCTAAAAGGCATGAACTCAGCTCCTGATTGTCACTGTATAGTCCTGAATTTGTAGAACTAGAGTTAATTCCCTCTTGGAACTTTCTTTGTTCTTCAGTAGTTACTTTTTTCCTTACCTAAAAGGGTTGTCTGTCAAACAATTCTTGAATAAACTTTCTGTTATCAATTTTATCTTGTCCTGGTGGTCCAATTTAGATAGCAGAGCAAGGCTGTTGACTGCCAAATTTCCCCCAAGGGAAGAAGGACAAGGACATTAAAGACCCTTCCCTGGCCTTTTTGTCCACTGCCCAGGTTCCGGTCTCCCCCTTGATATGTCTTAAGTTTAAATACCATTTTCTCACTCATAAGAGCCTGTAACATTTTGCCAACTTCTTTAGCTGTGGTTTAAGTGACAAGTTGGGAGAAGTAAGGGGGACTCTTGGGTGCTCTCTGTAGGTTTTTCTGTTTGGCCTCTATGCCTCTAGGTTTTTCATTCGTTGACCTTTTGTCTGTTAGTGCCTTTGGCCACAACCTCCATGCACCACCCCCCACCCCTTCCCACTACCAACAAGAAAATCTGGCAGATTACGGTTTCTTCCACGAAACCTAAACTTCTTCGCAATCCTCTTCCGGAGCTACAAAGAAGATGTCACGTGACCCGAAGCCCAACCACCATTGGGTCTAAAATGAAAACAAAGAAAAATGATTAATCTAAAAAAAAAAATCTGAGGCCTAGACTTCTCAGGTCAAACTTTAAGTAAAATTAAATCACTAAATAAAACTCGAGGCGGAGGGAGGGGAAGCACGTTTGATTTCCCCTGCCAGAGAAAGGGGAGAGGAGGGTGGGAGAAGCTATTGGATCTAAGCGTAAATAAAACGGTCCCCAGGCTAAAGTGCGGCTCTGTTTCCACCATCCTTGGGAAAACTTCATTTCTTAGTCGTGGTTCCATAAAAGTTTTATCACATTGGAGTGAGAATAGAGAGGGTCTGTCAAAGATGAAATGTCACCGCCGAGTCGCTGGAGCCGATAAGAGCGAGAAGACAGGGCGGCTGAAATATGGAGCTAATTCGTTGAAAGAGAAGCGATGGCTGCTTGCTGAAGAGCTGCATAATTCTAATTGTAAGCGATGTGCCTGCATTGCTTAATTAGGAGCATATATTTGGTGGTAGTCATGGTGGGGGAGTGAGAATCGTTCCAGGCCCTGCCTTAAAGCGAGGGCTGATTTTCATTTTTATGTTGCATCCTGGCAGTCCAAGGTTAGTAATTATAGTCTTTATGCAACAATAAATAACAATAAAAAAGCAACCTGAATTCTACACCCTCCCCCTTCCCCACCACCAAGTAGGATTTTAACTGGACTCCGCTCATCCAAGCAGCAAGCAATTTAGCATTGGGTCAGGCTATAATTTAAAGGCATAAGAGCGTGCAAAGTTTGATTGGGATCAAATAACGCTCAAGGGTTTTTCTTTCTTTCTCTTTCTCTCTTCTTCCCTGAATAACATTTTCTGAATGATATAACTAGATGAAACACCATGTTTGATTCTGGGGGTGGGTTGGGTTGCTTATTTATCTAGCAGGAAAGAGGCCAAGAAAGAGAATTTAGCTTAAGTTTGAAAAACAGAGCTTTGGCTCGGAGCTGGAATTGCAAACAAGAAAAATAAGAACCAACTTGGCTTGGTGTTCCCTATCCTTCTCTTTGGAAGATTCCAGGCGCTCAGCTAAAGCAGCCAAAGACGAGGGTAAAATATCCTTGCTGTAAAATTCACAGCAGGACAGGGGGGCGGGGGAGAGATGTCTCTGAGAAGGAGGGTTCTCTTGGCCCCTTTTAACACCCAAGTTTTCCGCTGTTTGCTAATCTGGCCATAAAATCTGTCAGTAAGGGTTAGAGAGAGCTGTATTTCCTGCAGGGACAGTCTCTGCCCGAGTTGCCCAAGATAAGCTCTGGATCCTTCAGCCAGCTGGAGAAGCTGTTGCTAAACTTTCAGAGGTGTTCAAGGGGATGGCCAGAGGGAGAATCCACTCTCAGGCCTCCCTGCATGACTTCCAGACGCTGCTTACTATTTGGATTCTTCTATGCCCCATCCACACCTCTAAATAGCAATAATCGTTTTATTTGGAGCCGAGTTGCACACTACTGTTGCTGGCCACTTTGCCCAGGTCAGAGTAGCTCTCTCTGTTCTCAGCCCTCCAGAGCATGCCTCCCTGGTCCCTGCAGCCCCCACCTCCAACTCCCCTTTCTTCATCCTCCGCTCCCCCACCCTCATGCTTCTACTCAGACTTCTCTGCTCTTCTTTTTAAATACTCACCACCACCCACGCAGATGTTACATTGACAGAAAGTTTCTAGTTCCAGCTCCGGGCTCAGTTGCCATTTCTCTGCTAACCAGCCTTCTCCTGGCTGGGCTGCAGAGAGAGAGGAGGGGGAGGGGAGGCCAGAGCCGTGGGAGTTCTCCAGGCAAACTTTCCACCCAACTTAGCGCTTTCCCTCTGTCCCCATTTCCCATCTGTTTCCCAGCTCTCCCAGAATCACCTTTCTCTTTTGCACCCCCACCCCCACCCCCAGGCCTTTTTAAGGGATGTGAAATTTTGGCTGTTCCCTCTGGTTTCCCAAAGAGCCAAATTCTTTGATGCAATCGGAGGGAGCTGTCAGGGGGCTAAGATTGATCGCCTCATCTCCTCTCCGTCCCTCTGACCCACTTATTTAAAAATCTTCCCCCAGATCGACTTTTCATTTTCTGCTTTGAGGCCTAGTTTCCCACCAATTTCTTGGGGCTTAGAGTCTTGTGCCCTCTTTCTATAGTAAATTACAACACTCTAAACTTCAGACTATCTTGGTCTCCTCAAAATAAAATAAATTTTAAAAGCATTTCCCCTCAGGAGCCAGAAATGGAATATCATCTCAGTGGTCATTATTTCCACCCGCACCATTTTCAGGGAATTCTTCCTTGTCAGGGATTTTTTTTTCTTTCGTTTTTTTTTTTTTAAATAGCACAATGGCAAAAATGGGAGGGAAAGTCTCTTTGTCCTAGGGGAAAAGCTCCCCACCACATTCATGCACACACATACGCTGATCTGAACTTTGAGACTGCTCTAAGTTAAATCAGTGGCTACCTGAGTTCTTGTTCATGTCCCTGGATATGGATACAGATATGAGCTTGAGGCTTGAGTGGGTACATGCACATCTTAGACTCTGCTTGTTTTCGGGGGGAGAGGGGTGTCACAGAGAAGCATGGATGCCTGAAAGTGAGGAAAGCAGGGGGACATAAGGGGAAGAGGCAGTGCTGCAAACACTGGGCAGAGACGAGAACCCAGGCCACACAGCGATGGAGGCCAGAGGCCCAAAAATGCCCCTCATGCTCCATCTCACTCTTATGTGTCCGCCTGGGAGTTCCTGTCCATTTCCCAAGATTTAACTGTTGCTTTTGGAGGGTTAACATGGGGATAGTGGTGCTGATGATTATAAATCTCTTTCTTATTTGCACCTTAACACTGACCTTTTTCAAAGAGTGGAAGCCTCTTTCGACTCCCTCTTCCTCCAACGCAGGGATCCTCACTCATCTTTTCTTGGGGAAGGGGAGAAGGGAAGAGGATGCTGCTGGCCACGTAAGCCACGTAAGGAAAGCCTTAAATTACTCTATTAAAACATTTGGAAAAGAGGAAGGTTTCTCCCTTAGAGTCTCTTCTTTTCCAAGCTTCTGAAACCTTCTAACCTCCGAAAGGGATGAGGAAGTGGTTTCTCTAGCTTTTCTGGAGAAAGGGAGGCACTGGGGAGAGAGCGTGTGAGGCACTGGTGTAGGAATGGGGGCTCATGGTGTCCAGGTCATGGTCCTCTGGTGTTTTTGAATCAATTAAAGCAAATAATGCTCTCTGTTTTCCACCAGGCCCAGACGAGCGATTGGCGGAGGCCGGTCCCGTGACCACGAATTCCCTGTAATTTCGCCGGAGTCTTGGGTTTAATAGAGAGAGTCCCCATACGCTTGTATTTATCAGCAATATACAAATATAAAGGCCCAAAATTAAAAAAAAAAAAAAAAAGAGAGAGACTGAAATCTCCCCCTCCCAAAATCGCTCCATTACATAAATCTTGGGGGGGCAGGAGGGGGGGTCCCTTCCGATCCTCCCTCCTGACGCCCCCCCCAGCAGCCCCCTCCCCCACCATTGAAAGCCATGAATTTTGAATTTGAGAGGGAGATTGGGTTTATAAACAGCCAGCCATCGCTCGCCGAGTGTCTGACTTCCTTCCCCGCTGTCTTGGAGACATTTCAAACTTCATCAATCAAGGAGTCGACATTAATTCCTCCTCCTCCTCCTTTCGAGCAAACCTTCCCCAGCCTCCAGCCCGGCGCCTCCACCCTTCAGAGACCCAGAAGCCAAAAGCGAGCCGAAGATGGGCCTGCTCTGCCGCCACCACCGCCGCTGCTCCCCGCTGCCCCCCCGGCCCCCGAGTTCCCTTGGATGAAAGAGAAGAAATCCGCCAAGAAACCCAGCCAATCCGCCACGTCTCCTTCCCCGGCCGCCTCCGCTGTCCCGGCCTCCGGGGTCGGATCGCCTGCAGGTCGGTAAGCGTGGTGGGGGTGGGGTGAGGGACACCCTACAAGAGGGGGAGAAAAATCAGTGGAAGGGGGTTAAAAAAAAAAAAGGTGGCAAGCCTGTTGGGGTTCCTTACCCCGTCCATTCCCGGGATGGGGAAGAAGAATATCGCACTGGGGGACAGGCCTGGCCGCTGCCAGCGTCTTTTTTTTTTTCCTCTCTCTCTCTCTCTCCCTACAGCTGATTTTGAAAGCTGGTTGGGGAAACGCCTTTTTTCTGCTAGAAGAAAATGATTTGATTGAGGTTTTCATCCGTATCTGTGTAGGGGAATGAATATGTTGTTGCTGGGATAGACTCTAGAAGCAGAAAAAGATTCGGTCCTTTCTGCCCCAACTCTAGGAGAAGAGGAAGAATTCAGAGCTAGGGAGGAAGAGGGGTGAAGAACAATCTTTATGACCCTCGCTCCGGTTGAGTTGGAAAGTTCCGAATTGAGGGGTCCACTGGGAGGGCTTGGGAGGGGGGATCTGAGGTTTCGGCGCCGAAGGGAGCGGCTCTCCGCCCCCTGCGTGGCCCGTGGGCGGCTCTGAATGCTTTGCCGTGACCTGGGCCGGGGCTGTCGACTAGGGAGGGAGAGAAGAAAACCCAAAAGCAGTGAAAGCGAGCCGCTGTGGGGTGGGGGCGGGGGTGGGGTGGCGAGGAAGGGGAGAGGTGATACTGGTTTTGGCGGATGGGGTAGTCAGAACTAAGGTTGGGCTGAGTACACGGCCCGCTTTGACGCCCAGCTTGTTTTCCCTGCAGATGGCCTGGGACTGCCGGAGGCTGGTGGCGGCGGGGCGCGCAGGCTGCGCACCGCTTACACCAACACACAGCTGCTGGAACTGGAGAAGGAATTCCACTTTAATAAGTACCTGTGCCGGCCACGCCGCGTCGAGATCGCGGCCTTGCTGGATCTCACCGAAAGGCAGGTCAAAGTCTGGTTCCAGAACCGGCGCATGAAGCACAAGCGGCAGACGCAGCACCGAGAGCCGCCGGATGGGGAGCCTGCCTGCCCGGGCGCCCTGGAGGACACCGGCGACCCTGTCAAGGAGCCCGCGGTCAGCCCGGGCGGCCCCTCCGCCTCGCGGGCGGCGTGGGAAGCCTGCTCTCACCCGCCGGAGGTGGTGCCGGGGGCCTTAAGCGCCGCGGACCCCCGGCCTTTAGCCGGTGGCTTAGAGGGCGCGGGCGCGCCGAGCCCTGGCTGCGCGCTGCGCGGGGCGGGCAGGCCGGAGCCGGGACCATTGCCAGAAGATGTCTTCCCGGAGCGCCAGGATTCGCCTTTCCTTCCTGACCTTAACTTCTTCGCGGCCGACTCCTGTCTCCAGCTATCCGGAGGCCTCTCCCCTAGCCTGCAGGGTTCTCTCGACAGCCCCGTCCCCTTTTCCGAGGAAGAGCTGGACTTCTTCACCAGCACGCTCTGTGCCATAGACCTGCAGTTTCCCTAACCCGTTTCCTCCTCCCGGTCCTTTCCACCCCCGCGCTCCTTGGTCATCTACTGGAAAAATCGAGCCTCTCCCACCCCCAGTCGCATAGACTTATGTGTTTTGCTAAAATTCAGGTATTACTGAATTAGCGTTTAATCCACTCCCTTTCTTCTTCTAAAATATTGGGCACTCGGGCATCTTTTAAAATTCACACAGAAAAATTCCGTTTGGTAGACTCCTTCCAATGAAATCTCAGGAATAATTAAACTCTAGGGGGACTTTCTTAAAAATAACTAGAGGGACTTATTTTCCTCTTTTTTATGTTTTAGACTGTAGATTATTTATTAAAATTCTTTAATAATAGGAAAAGGGGAAAGTATTTATTGTACATTATTTTCATAGATTAAATAAATGTCTTTATAATACGAAAACGAGTGTTTGTGTTGGGACTTAACCTCTTTCCCCGCGGCCCCAAGGCCGGTCCTCACCCCTCCAGGACCTGTGCGAAGTTGATTCGGTTCAGCGGCCCATGTGGCAGCAAAGCCTCCTGGGCCGGCGAAGTCCGGGTGGTACAAAGGTGACCCGATTGATGGCCGCTTCGCCCACGGCTCCGGCAAGAGTCGGGAGTTTGCAGGAAGCTCGGTCACCTCCCTGCCCCTCAGCAGAGGGCCTTTGGTCCTGAGCGGGTGGTCCTGGGGCCTCTGCTTAGAAATAAAGGTGGGCAGGTGGAGGGAGAAAGTATACAGCCAACAGTGGAGGGTGCAAGGAGAGGAAGCCTGGGGACAGGCTTTGGGGTCGTGGCGGGGGCAGAAGTTTCCTGGAATTGGGAAGAATCCAAGGGCTTCCTTAGACTTCTTGCTTCTTATGACCGAAGCCGGTGTAGGGCCTTTTTCTGAACTCAAGAAGCCTAGGGACGAGAGGCCTGGGGCTTGAGCCGGGCCTCTTTGGGAGTTGTAGGTGGCTCTCCAAGGAGTGGAGTGGAGTCGGGGATTTTCTCGGGAAGCAGGGCCCCGCACCCAGGGATGGTAACTGCTTCCAAGTGGGCAAGAAAAGAGGCCAGCTGAGAAATGTGGCGCTGCCGGGACACCTATGGACTCGGGGGCTTCTGGGCTTTGGGGGACCATCCGAGAAGCAGCCGGGCGAGAAGCCCAGGGAGGACCGGCAGCGTCGCCAGGCGCTGGACCTGCAGGGAGAGAAGGAGGAGCGAGGAGAGCGGGACTGAGACAGGGAAGCAAAGACGATGCTCAAAATGGCGCTGGGGCCGGGCGGCGGGCGGGGGGGCGCGAGGGAAGAGGCTGTGGCCGCCATGACAGCCGCTGCGTGAGGCGCCGGCCCAGCGGGTATCTGCCCCCGCCCCCGCGTCCTCCCAGCCGGATTTTCCAGAGGCCAGGGAAGAAGGAGAGCCTGGGAGTCCCACCTTAGTTTTTGTTTGTTTGATTTTTTTTAAATTTTAAAGTGAGCTCAACGGACGCTGAGGACGCGAGATGGAAGGAGAGTCCGGGTGGGAAGGGAAGGGAAGGAGAGCGGCGGATCTGCGGGCCTGGGTGTGCCTCATCTGGTCTGACTTTTGATACTTCGCTGTGGAATTTGAAGCCAGGCTAGAGCTTTCTCTAAATGCAGACCCACCTGTCTTCACCAACAACTTCATTTTCCATATCAACACCATGTCCTGTCTATCCCCCACCACAGCCTGCCTGGTTCCTTGTAAACCTGGTAAGCGGGAAGCAAGGATCGATCTCCCCCATCTGCCTCCTGGTTTGTTCTGGGAAAGTGGAGATTTAAAGGGCTCCGGAAAGCCATCCATCCTCCTTAGGTTTCTTTAATATTTCTCCCGCTCAGAAACAGACACTGCGGGGCTATCTCCCCGGCAGATGTTGCCCTTCTCAAAAAGCAGTTTATTTCCTGGGCCTCCAGACTTTCCCCTGGACCAAAAGGACCGGGATTTAGAGTACCAGGCACCCAGAGGCAGCAATTGTCAGGATAAGCCAGGAGCCAACATAGGTTGTGACACAGAGGACTAGACAGGCCCTTTGCATAGTTTTAAATGGGTCCCTCAGTATGGGAAGTACACACCTTAGTTAACTGGAACTTAATCCCTTAAACTGTCTTAATACAGATTTCATCTCGTGCATTAAATAATCTTGCATCATGTTAAATTGCACTTATTTCTCTCATAAATAAATAAAGAACAATTAAATGTGTTATAATAATAGCGTGTATCTTAGTTTATTTTCCCTCATAAAACATATAGGTATGAAATAAATTCAATATATTAAAGTAATAATACACAGCTTATTGGCTTGTGTGTTTATTTTACCCATAAATAAGTGAATATACAATATATTAAAACAACGCTATACATCTCATTGGGCTGCGTGTTTATTTCTCCATAAAATATGCCCACAGGCAGTGTTTAACATCTTAAAAATCACAGCACACAAGCCATCTCTACACTAGCAAAATGAACAGATATTTCAACTGGGGCTTTGATTTCTATGGACAAACTAGATAATTTGGTCTAATTAAAAATGCTCTTGCAGCTAGCTATAGCAGGTTGTTACAAAGATCAAGAATATCAGAAGGATCTTGCTAATGGCCTACCTTCCAGTTTCTTTGGTCAAAAGGAGAGCACCCTTCCTCAGTGCCAAAAAAAATGCAGAGTTAGGCTGGGCGCGGTGGCTCAAGCCTGTAATCCCAGCACTTTGGGAGGCCGAGCCGGGCGGATCATGAGGTCAGGAGATCGAGACCATCCTGGCTGACACGGTGAAACCCCGTCTCTACTAAAAAATACAAAAAATTAGCCGGGCGAGGTGGCGGGCGCCTGTAGTCCCAGCTACTCGGGAGGCTGAGGCAGGAGAATGGTGTGAACCCGGGAGGCGGAGCTTGCAGTGAGCTGAGATCCGGCCACTGCACTCTGGCCTGGGCGGCAGAGCGAGACTCCGTCTCAAAAAAAAAAAAAAAAAAAAAAAAATGCAGAGTTGGCTCTGCAGGAGAGAATTTCTATCCCCCATCATGGTTTGCAGCACTCAAGGGCATCTGATGCACCAGTTCTCTGGAGCCTGGCTGCTCCATGGACCAGCAGCATCAGCACTACCTGTGAGCTACTTAGAAATACAGAATCTTAGGCCCCTGCATCAGACCTACTGAATCAGAATTTGCAGTTTAGCAGCTCCCCAAGTGATTTATATACACTTAAAATTTGAGAAGTACTGCTAGATCATAGTGCCACCTTGCTTTCTGCCTTCCTGCATGCTTCAGAATTTTTGACTCACTTTACCTGGCCCCTGGCTTCCAATTCTCCTAACCCAAACCAGTAGCTCAAATGGCAGGGAATCTTTGTTCCTGCCTGGGCCTGCATCAGTCTGATTCCTTCCTGCCAAAGTAGTGGGGAGCCAACCAAAGGCTCAATGTACCTGTTTAGATTCAGGTACTTTGGATATGCTAGGGGTGAGAGTTCTTAGTCCAGGTATTGCCTTTGGCTGATTATTGGAGAGGAGTTGAAACTCTTTTTACGGGAAACACACAAGATTGCTGGCTCTCTCCTTTCCAAATTTATGAAACTCACCATCTCTGATGATACCACAACAGAACAAAGAGGCAATGCATTTGCAGAAGAAAGTGACTCCCATTTTCAGTTTCCCCACCCAATTCAGATTCAAGGGAATGCCTGGCAATTTGGGATTCATAAAGGATTGCAATTCAGGATCCCTGTGTTCCAGATTAACTTCTTTCCCTCTTTCATCTCTGGGGACATCCTTTTTAGCTTGAGTTTTCCCAGTTGGCCATGGAGAAGTAAGAGGAAGAGGGGTGGTTCCCAGATAGGGCAGCAGACCCCAGTGATGGTGGCAGATTAGAGGGCAGCTCCAAGTGGCTGCACTCACTTATTCCATCCTGACTGGGGCAGGGTTCCTCTTGGGTCAGGACCAATTGTGAGTGGTGTAGCACAGAGTGGTTATAAATTCACTGTGGTTGGAGTGGGAAGGTTTCAGTGCAGCCCGGAAAGCTGCTGGTCAGTCTGCCCTGCTCTTAGTGAATCATTCTTTTAAGAAGCATGTCTCATTAATATTACAGTGAAAGCAAAGGACCATTAGACTGAGGAAGTACTTGCAATCATGATAACCCTGAGTCATTAAAAAAAAAAAAGTTAACTTATGTCTGAGCAAGTATCTTCCCCTTTCTGGACCTCAGTTTCTCTATCTGTGAAATAAATGGAATAATTAAATGCCTCTAATGTACTCTACATTAATATATATGTATATTCTTTAGTATATATTATTTAATCTTCACAAACAATGTATTAACTGTTTATTATGGCTGATGTCTTGTGCTCTTAAGTAATTTTTGGTGTTCGACAATGACCTACCCCACATGAATCTGGTGGGGGTAATTTTAACAAATTTTATTTTATTTTGTGAGATAATGTCTCACTTTGTCACCCAGGCTGGAGTGGAGTGGTGCAGTCACAGCTCACTGCAGCCTCAACCTCCTGGGCTCACGTGGTCCTCCCATCTCAGCCACCTGAGTAACTAGGACTACAGGTGCGAGCCACCACGTTTGGCTAATTTTTTTTTTTGGACAGAGTCTCACTCTTATTGCCCAGGTTGGAGTGCAGTGGTGCAATCTCAGCTCGCTTCAACCTCTGCCTCCTGGGTTCAAGCAATTCTCCTGCTTCACCTTCCTGAGTAGCTTGGATTACAGGCACCTGCCACCATGCCCGGCTAATTTTTGTAGTTTTAGTAGAGACAGGGTTTCGCTATGTTGGCCAGGCTGGCCTCAAACTCCTGACCTCAGGTGATCTGCCTGCCTCGGCCTTCCAAAGTGCTGGGATTATAGGCATGAGTTACCGCGCCAGGCCGCCTATTTATTTATTTATTTTTGAGATGGAGTCTTACTCTGTCACCCAGGCTGAAGTGCAGTGGCAGGATCTCGGCTCACTGCAACCTCCACCTTCTGGGTTCAAGCGATTCTCCTATCTCAGCCTCCCAAGTAGCTGGGACTACAGGCATCCGCCACCACATCTGGCTAATTTTTATATTTTTAGTAGAGATGGGGTTTCACCATGTTGGCCAGGCTGGCGTTGAACTCCTGACCTCAAGTGATCCACCCACCTCGGCCTCCCAAAGTGCTGGGATTACAGGCATGAGCCACCTCCTCTGGCCTTTTATTTATTTATTTTTTACAGCTAATTTTAAAATATTCTGTGGAGACGATATTGCACTGTGTTGACCAGGTTGGTCTTGAACTCCTGGCTCAAGTGATCCTCCTGCCTCAGCCTCCCGAAGTGCTAGGATTACAGGCGTGAGCCACTGTGCCTGGTCAATAAATTTTAATTAGTATCTTTGCACTGATAATCATGCATTTACCTTTATTTAAATGAGTAGAGAGTGAAATATTTTCAACAAGCAGGTAATTGGGTGCGGTGTTGT